CTTAAATCTAAGACCCGAAACCATAAAACTTCTAGGAGAAAACATAGACAGTAATATCTCCAATATTGCTACTAGTAATTTCTTTTTGGATATATCTTCTCAGGTAAGGGAAACAAAAGAAAAAATAAATGAATGGGACTACATCACACTAGAAAATTTTTACACAGCAAAGGAAACCATCAACAAAATGAAAAGACAACCTACTGAATGGGAGAAGATATTTGCCTATGATACACTGGATAAGGGGTTAATACCCAAAATATATAAAGAACTCATATAACTCAACAACTACAAAAACAAACAATCCAATTAAAAAATGGGCAGAAGACTTTATTAGAGATTTCTCCAAAGAGGAAATATAGATGGCCAATAGACATATGCAAAGATGCTCAAGGTTATTAATCATCAAAGAAATCAAATTAAAACCACAATGAGATTATCACCTCGTACCTGTCAGAATGGCAGTCATCAATGAATCAAAAAACAAGTGTTGGTGAGGATGTGAAGAAAAGGAAACCCTCACACAATGTTGGTGGGACTGCAAATTGGTACAGCCGCTATGAAAAATAGTTCTTCAAAAAATTAAAAATGGATCTACCTTTTGACCCAGCAATTGCACTTCTGAGTATTTACCCAAAGAAAACCAAAATAATAATTCATAAAGATCTATGCATCCCTAAGTTCCTTGGAACACTATTTATAATAGCCAAGATATGGAAGCAACCTAAATGTCCATCAACAGATGACTGGATAAAGAAGATATGGTTCACATAATTACCACTTCTTTTTTGCAGTACGAACATTTAAGATCTACTCTCTTAGCAAGTGTATGATACACTTTCAAGTGTATAATACAATATTATTAACAAAAATTGCCATGCTATATATTAAGTCCCTAGAACTTATTCATATTCTAACTGGAAGTTTACACCCTTTGACGGAAATCTTTTCATTTCCCTCACCTGCAACTCCTGGAAAACAGCATTCCACTCGGTTTAAATGAGTTTGGCTTTTTTAAGATTCCACATTATCAAAAAGCGTTTTTCTCTGACTTATATCACTTAGCATAATGCATGCCCTCAAGGACGATTAATGTTGTCACAAACAGCATGATTACCTTCTGTGTCTTCTTTATCCATATACCCTTGTGTGTCTTCTTTATCCATATACCCTTGGACAAACCCTTAGGTTGTTTAAATATCTCGGCTATTGTAAATAATTCTGCAATTGTTACCAGAGTTCATCCACCTGGCACTAGCAGAGCCAAACACTAAACACTGATAATTGCAGTGGAAAAACTGGAGTTTCTTTATTTTCAGAGCATTAGCAAGGAGAAGGGGGAAACTATGGCTCAAAGGCTCAAAATCCCCAATCCAGAGTTTGGGGTGTGTTTTTAAGAGGTTAGGGAGAATAGGTATGTGGAAGCACTGGTGGAGCAATTTGTAATTGGAAGACCTTGGAACTCAGTCATTTATGGTAAAGGGATTCAGCACCAATCTTCCTGAACAACAAACCCTTTGCCTCTGAAAGGGTTCCAGTGTTCAGGTTCTGGTAATGTCCTAGACTTTTGATTCCAGGGAGGGAGAGAGAAGACTTTGGTTCTGGGTACAGCTAGAGGTCAAAGATCTCTCCTATGCACATGCTTCGGCCTCATGACTTGCAGTTTTGGTCTGTTGTCTCTGAAAAGCAATTCAGTACCTTTCAAAACAGGATAAGATCATTTTGAGTTGGTTCTGCGGTTACAAATCTCCCTTTTGTTGTTCATTCATCAATCTTGAGGTAAATAGGGCGACCGGGTTCGGGTTCAATTAAGATAGAGGATTAGCTTCAAGAGGGAGTCAGATTTGTTTACCCATTGTGCCTCTCTTATCCGGCAGCTCTTATAATCTCATACACTCGCCTCTTCCATAATGGTCCCTGAGTCTTAGAGGGGACATTCTGAGTGTTCAATTTACAAGCAGAGACCATAGCAACAGTAGAGGTAGCAGCAGGTGATGATACTTGTACCCTGGAAAAGACTGCTACAAATCATGTAAGCAAGGTACCAGACTGCTTTTTCCCAAGGGGGATTTATTTGCTTCCAAAGTCAATCTTAATTTTTAAAAAATTTCTGGTCAAATCCAAGTCTATGCATCTCTCTCTCAAAATGACAATCCTATCAAAGCCTTAATAATAAAACCAATTTCTAATTATGTTCAGTACAGATCTTACAAGCCAAGAACCCAATTTCTCTCACTGGAAAATGAAAGTGCCACAGGTCAGCCATGCCCCATCAACAGCACTGCAGGTCTGTTTCTGGAACAATCAATCCAGGTTGTAATTTCAATGCGGTCCTGGGAGAAGACGAACCCTGCTTTTACCTAGTCCACCACCTTCCCTCACATCCTCCAGGAATAATCAATCCAAGAATCTGCTTGGACAAAACCTGGAGAGACTGCCCCAACCAGGGGTTGCTGAAGCACAGACAGAAAGCCCACTCAAAGCTAAGTCCCATCTAAGTCATCATTTTTGTTACAGAACAAAAAGTTTGTCCAACCAGCACTAGAGCCAAACACTAAACACCAGAAATTGCAGTAGAGAAAATTAGGGTCATTTTCTTTGCTAAGCACTAGGCAAAGAGAAAGAGAAAGCTATGGCCCAAAAGCCCAAACTCCCTGATGCAGGCTCTAGGGCAGGTTTTAAGGGGGCAAGGGAAATAGGTATTTGGAAACACGGGCAGGGCAAATTTCATTGGAAGGATGTTGGAGCTTGGTCATTTATGGTAAAGGGCTTCAGCACTGGATCTTCCTGGACAACAGGCCCTTTGCTTATCTATAAAGAACTCCTGAAACACAATAATAAGGAAGCAAACAACCTAATTATTTTAAATGGGCAAAAATTTTAAACAGACATTTTATGAAAGAATAGCAAATAAGCACATTAAAAGATGCTCAATACCATTAGGGGAATACAAATTAAAGCCACAAGATACCACCACAGCTTATATCATCAACTAACCTATGACAAAAGGAGGCAAGAATACACAATTGAGTAAAGACAGTCTCTATGCACCCCAATATTCATGGCAGAACAATTTACAACAGTCAAGATATAGATGCAACCTAAATGTCCATCAACAGATGACTGGATAAAGAAGTTATGGTTCATATATACAATGGAATATTACTAAGCCATTAAAAAAAATGAAATCCTACCATTTGCAATGACATGGAGAGACCTAGAGGTTATTACACTGAGTGAAATAAGTCAGACAGAGAAAGAAAAATACTATATGATTACACTTATGTGCGGAATCTAAGGAACAAAAAGAACAAACTAACCAAAAACAGACACACATACAGAGGACAATTTGGTGATGGACAGAGGGGAAGAGGAAGGGGTTTGGGGGACTGGGAGAATGGAGTGAAGGGTTAATGAAGTACAAATTAGTAGTCGATAGATGGTCATGGGGATGGGGAGTACGGCATAAGGAATGCAGTTAGCATTAATACATTGGCAAGGTGGAGGGCAAGGGGATCGTTTTATGAACTATATAGGTGTCTACCCAATGTACTGTATACTTGAAATTAATGAAAAACAATAATAATACTGTAATAATTATATATGTTATCAGGTGGGTACTAGACTCATTGGGGTAATCACTTCGTGAGGTACATAAATCACTAGGTTGTACACCTGAAATTAATATAATATTGTATGTTGACTGTAATTGAAAAAAATTTTTAAAAACCCACAAGATAACAATACCTATTAGAATGGCTACAATTAAAAGACTGACAGTACCAAGTGTTGGCAAGGATGTATAGGAAATGTCTGTACACTGATGGCGGGAATGTGAAAAAGTACAGGCCCTTTGGAAAACAGTTTCACAGTTAAATAAATATCTACCATATAAACCAGCCATTCCATCCCTAAGTATTTGCCCAGGAGAAATGAAAGCATACATCAATAAAAAGTTTTATACACAGATGTTTATAGCCTTTCATAACAACAGGTGAGTAGGTAAACTCTGATATACTCATTAAATGGAATACCACTAAACAATAAAAGGAATGAACTTTCATATGTACTACAACATGGATGAATTTCAAAATAATTATGCTAAATAAAATAACCCATTAAAAAAGAGTACATATTATATGATTCCATTTCTATGAAATTCTAGAAAATGCAAACTAAACTACAGTAATTGAAAGCAAATCAATGGCTGCCTGGGATAAGAAAGGGGATATGGATATGTTCATTTTCTTGATTCTGGTGATAATTTCATGAGTAGATTCATATGTCAAACTTATCGAGCTGCACAGCTTAAGTTTGTATACTTTTTTATTACATTAATTATATATCAAAAAAAACATTAGAAATCACCTGTTATTACCCTTAAAGCCAGCGGTGGTACATATCTTGACTGAACACAAAAAGATGCTCCTTAATAATTCTTTTGTAGCAATACCCTCAAAGAACTTCTGATAATAATATAGTGAAGGGGCACACAGAGTCCAGAGTACATATTACTAGCAGAGTAAACAACTATTGTATTTCATACCCACTGACAGAAAAGGATACTTTGCCTTCCATGAAAAAATATATGAAGAGATTTCCCACTCTAAACCACAAATCAGATATCCATCTTAAATTATTTTACAACATTAACCAAAGGGGACTATTTAGAGAGTTTAAAAAACAAAAATGGTAGTTCTACTTCCTTTTTTATTTTAATTCAGGAGTAATTTAGAGAACATTATATATTAAGAAAATGAATATCTAAAGCCATCTGAACCAGAAGACCATTTTAGTCCAACTTTAGCTTTAAGACCAACTCCTCCAAAAAAAGACATGAATACTTTTGTTAAGTAATTTTGATAACCAAGAAGCCAAAACTAGAAAATAAACATTCTTAATATGAGTAAATATTTAAAATTTTGATTATTGCATATATACCTATATGAGTGGTTGAGTTTATATAACTGGAGAGAGAAAAGCCAAGCAATGTCACTCACCTATTTTGTTCCTCCAGTTTAGCCAGGAGTTCTAAGTCGTCTGGACTCAACTGTGATGGCGAAGATGGTGAAAGGGCTGGCGTTGATAGTGTGGTAGATGAGGATGTAGTGTGTAATGAAGCAGATGGACTTGCCACCTGACTGGCCATCTGACTGACTGTGTGTGATACTGTGTTCTTCACCCATGAGAGAGTAGAACTCAGCTTTTCTGCAACCTTGTCTGTCGCCACCTAAGGATAAAAATAAAAGTTGCATGTATTTTAGTTTTATGGTATTTATCAAGAACTTGGTATTTATCAAGAACTTGGTATTTACCAAGAACTTGCTAATCCTGTTAAGTTTTACTTAATAACTACCATCAAAATACTCTCTTTAAGGTGATAAAGGTAAAATCTGTTTTAACAATCATTATCTCAACATCTAGTTTGTGAAAACTGTTTCAGTTCTACAGCATGAACAAACTAGAACAGTGTTTTCTAAACTACAGGTTGAAATCCATTAGGTAGTGATAAAATTCAATTTAATAAGTAACGCTAGCATTTTTAATAATGAAAAAGAGCAGGAAATGTCAGTGTAAAGATATATCTATCATCTCACAAAATTTTTGTTTCAGTAACATATGTATTAAAATTATGTACTCACACGTACATACATGCATGAGTGCACTAAGTTGGGATCTAAAAGGTAATCTTTATTGGGGTTGTAGTCAAAAACATTTGAAAGCCAAAGAATTCAAACATGTTCATTAGGTAATGAGGATAGGAAAATCCTGTAACATGACTAACAACTCAACAAAAACTAGGTTTGCTTGACATAAAGATGTAATGAGATCCGTGATATCTGTCTTCAAACAACTGAAGAGTATTTTTATTATAGAAGACAGTCTAGTTCTAGAGGATAAAATTATGATAAATAGTTGAGTTAACGCAATGAGACAGATTCAAGGTCCAACTTTCAAATAGAACTATTCAGAAATAGAATGAGATTCCTAAAAAGAATAGATATTCCCTACCAAGGCTACAATACAGTAGCAATTATTAGAGCCATATGTCAAGAGTTGGATGAAGATGTATCTCTGTTTTAAGTTGACAACCAGGACTAGAAAAGCATTTAAGATCATTCCCATCTCTAAGATTCAATGATTTATACACATGTCCATATATGTGTAATTGGACATACCAACCTCCTAAGCAGATATGTACGCAACAAATTCAGCTGAAAAACATAATATACACAAATAATACTCAAACAAGGCATTACTACTTTGGAAACGAAAAACATGAACAATAACCATATATGAATATCTTTATAAAACTAAACATTCCTAATGAGTTAATAGATAAGGTAAAATAGATTTTTAAGCAATAATAGATTTTCAATAGATAATAGATTAAGGTATTATAGACTTTCAAAAACTATCATAAAAAAAGCTTCTTGATTGTGAAGTCCGAAGACACATAAAAGCTGAAAACTACAAAGTGTTTTTATGTGCTTTGAGAATATCTTAAATTTTATGCAGTAGGTAAACAGCTAAATCACTATAAATTATTTTCTGAATCAGCATATTCTCAGCCAACTTTGGTTATATAAAGCAATTCATACTCACAAATTAAAACTCCAACACATGCACGCAAATAAAAATCCCATCCAGACTATCTTAGCAGATCCTATTTTCCTCGTGAGTTATCCAAGGCTTTCTTCCTCACCTCAAAACACACGACTCTATCCCTCTGCCCGCTCCCTTCCTCCACCTAACCCAGCAGGAAAAATCAATGTAGGGGAAGGATAACATGGAAAAGGGATTCTAAGATCATAGCTAAGCCACTCAACATTGAGGCTGGAACTTCTAAGACAAAGATTTGATTATAAGTGCTGAACAAGGGACAAGAGTTGTATTAACCCAAGGATACCTCTTATTTTCTTTTACTTTTCAATAACTTTCCCCTTTTAGAACTTACTTACCTTGGGAATGGTATTATGGAAAGGATCGGGGGCTCTCACTGTTGAGGGAAGAGTCCCCAAGAAAGATAAGGAGGATGAAGTATAGGACCCAAGGAAAAGAAGCATAAGGTAGATTATTTAGGCTTCCAGGTAAAAAGAAGTCTTCGCCAATGTATAGACCAGCAGCACATCAGTTCATCAGAGCAAAAGGCCAGATAGGAAGCAAGGAATAATTTAGCCAAAACTTTCTTTATGCAAAGAAATGGTAGGAGCTGTGGGAGACAAAAGATAGCCTATGATTTATTATCCTATTGATCCTCTCTACATAGTTACAACTACAAATTCAACTGTGAACACGGTGCTAATTTGCATCTCAAAAGCACATTATATTTTAAAACAGAAAACCTAATATGTAAATTTATAGAAAAATGTTACCTTTTACTAATATCAATAATTTCAAATATACTTACAACTTTTAAGAATTAATGCTTTAAATTTCTATTATGTAAAAGACCTCTGCTCAAGTTAACTGCAGCAAAGACAAAAGACACCTATAACTTGCTTTAATTAAAACAAATAAGAATCTATTAAAAATTGGGGTGACACTGATTAATGAAATCATATAAATTTCAAGTGTATAAAACAAATAAATTTATCATACCCCTTCTGTACACTGTAGCAACAGGCTTCCATTTAAAGAATCAGAATAACCAAGAGTACAATCCTGACATCCTTTCAAACTTGCTGAAATGAGATTTAGTCTATAACTATCAAAGATTCAACAACCCATCTTCGAATTTTATATTCTTAAGTATAACTAGAGTATTTGATTGCAGTTGCGCTTCAATAAAGTTTAATACTCATGGTTCTAGAAATCCTAAAGGGCTGAATTATTTTTCATATATCATTATGTCCTATTTTTCCTCTAAATTTACTTTTCCAAATCTCCACTCAGCCGCCTCTAAACCTCTTTCCTTCATCCTATGGTAAATTGAGGTCATGAACACATAATAAATCTGACAATGCAATTACGTCACAAAGTTCCTATCTACCTATAGAAGTGTTATACATTTATTTTTAATCATGAACAAAATATGAAAAGGTTAAAAAGATCTTAAAAAGGCTTAGTGATCAGACACAAAAAGCCACATGTTATATAATTCCATTTATATAAAATGTCCAGAATAGGCAAATCCAGAAACAGAAAAAGATTAGTGGCTTCAAGGGGCTGGGGGAGGGAGGATTGAGGAATGACTAAAAATAGGTACAAGTTTCCTTTTGGAGTGATGAAAATCTTCTGGAATTGGACTATGGTGATAATTATACAACCCTGTGAATATAAAAAATGCCACTGAACTGTATACTTTAAAGGACTGAATTTTATGGTACATGAATTATTTCTCAATCTTAAAAGGGCTTAGTCGATCAGAAAAAGCCACATAATATATGATTCCAACTATATCTGAAAAAGCTACATATTATATGAATCCAACTATACGACATTCTGAAAAAGGCAAAGCTAAAGAGGCAGTAAAAAGATCAAAGGTTGCCAGGGGATGGAGAGAAGAGAGGAATGAACAGGTAGAGCAGAGAGGATTTTTAGGGCAGTGAAAATACTCTGTATGATACCATTATGATAAATAAGCGTCATTATACACTTGTACAAACACACAGAATGTATAACACCAAGAAGTGAACAGTAATGTAAACTATGGATCTGGAGTGATTATGACGCATCGATGTAGGTTCATTAATTATTAACACATGTGCCACACTGGTAGAGAATGTTGATAATGGGGAAGTGTATGCATGTGTGGGGGTAGGAAACATATGGAAAATCTCTGTACTTTCCACTCAATTTTGTTGTGAACATAAAACTGCTCTAAAAAAAGTAAAATCTTAATGAAATAATAAATATAAAGTTTAGTAAAAGTCTTGGATATTGCTACATTTGAAGAGGATCTCCCATGAGAAATAATCATGGTCCCTTTATTACTTTATATTTTATTTGAACTTATAAGGATGCTCTTACTCCCCAAAAGGACTACTTTTAAAAAGTCCAGTTTTGATCCAAAATCTAAAACACTCTAAAGTATGTGTCACTGTTTTCCGCATTTCAAAAGTGAAGAAATAATGACACAGGAAAAAAAATAAAAAACAGAGAAGGTCAGAAAGCTGGTGAGAAACAAACGTAGAGTCTGATTTGAGATTCTTTCCTCTTAACCACTATCAAGAGTGAGCAAGCCCGAAAGTTGGCGATGAATGTGATTACTAATGACCTCAGGGAGTCCATGAAAAAAAGCAGAAATCAGAATCCAGTCGATTGAGGAGCATCTGAGAGATGAAGAATTAGGAGCTACAAAACCTTCCCACTCCCACCACTATGACCTCTAGTTTTGAGACTCCTTGATTCATTCTGATTCCTGAAAACTGGAAATTCCAGAATGTTAGTCAGGACTTCATTATGCAACAAACCTTACTTTCCAAAAAGTGCCTTCAAATAGACACTAATTTCATTTGATTTTCTTACACAGAGAAAAAAATTGGCACAATACAGATAACTAAACTGTTATGATTATTTTTTATCATTGTTTATAGCAAGGCTAAGTCAACAATTTAGCATTCTTTTAGGATTTTTCACATCACTTAATATTAACTCAATGTTCATAATTCTATAGGACAAGTAATGTTTTCGCTTTAGAGATAAGAAATTCAAGATTAAGATCATTTAAAAGACTTACCTCTTAACTCAAAATGGACCTCAGCATAAGAGCTAGAACTATAAAACTCTTAGAAAAAGCACAGGGGAAAAAGCTTATGACAATGACTTTATAATCATTCCTAAAATATGACACCAAAAGCATAAGCAAAAAAGAAAAAAATTAGATAAAATGGACTTCATCAAAATTGAAACTTTTGTATATCAAAGGATACTATCAACAGAGTGAAAAGGCAACCCACAAAAAGGGAGAAAACTATTTGAGAATCATATATCTGATAAGAGATTACATCCAGAACATATTAAGAACTAAAATCACTAACTCAAACAACCCAATTAAAAAATGGGGAAAGGATCTGAACAGACATTTCTCCAAAGATATACAAATGGCCAATAAACACAATAAGCATATAAGATGCTCAACATCACTAATTAGGAAAAAGAAAACTAACTTCACATACATAAGGATGGCTATTATTAAAAATAACAAAAATAGGAGGCTTCTGGGAAAAAATGGCATACATAGAGGCTTTGTTCATCCTACTTGCGACAAAATTAAAGTTGTGATGGAAA